TGTGACCTGCCCTAATGTGGCATCTCCTAACCGTGAGTCTGTCCACGAGCTCGGTGTGGCCATTGCGGTGAGAACACAGCAGAGTAAAGTGCCTTGGGAGGGACAGCTGGTGTCACCTCCACCTTATAGGACTCAGTCTTGGCCAGTTGATATTGAAAATGATTCTCCATTCCCCTTGTGAAGTTAGAGGAGGTCAGATGGCCCCATCCCACCATTTGTACCATAGACTTGGACACACCACCTGCCTTAACTCTCTACTGCAGCTTCACAGAGTTACTACAAGCAGTGGCTTTGGCGACCAGAAATGTCTTCTTTCAGAGTTTAGGAGGCTGGGAGCCAGAAGTCAGCATGGCAGCTCCTGGAGACAGCTTGCTCTCTCTGTCGGCATTAGGGAAGATCCTTGTCTCCTTTCAGCATCTGCAGGGCCAGCGTTCCTTGGAGATCTTCATATGTCTTGGTAGTGGTCTCTCTCTTGGTTTAAGAGTTCCTCAGTACTGAGACTCCAAGTCCCCTTACACTGGATCTGGGCTGAGATGGGAATAAGGGCATTGCATCCTACCTTTAATCCTCTTACTGGCTCATCACGTCACATCATTTCATTACAGCACTGCTAAACCATCGAGCAAAGGACTAAGGTGCGCCTGACCCAAGCCATGGTATTTTCAATAGCCTCACATACATGTGAAATTTGGACATGAATAAGGAAGAATAGATGCATTTGAGTTGTGGTGTTGGAGAAGAATATTAAAGGTACCATAGGCTACCAGAAGAAGAAACAAATGTGAGTTGGAAGAAGTACAACCACAGTGTTCTTTAGAAGCCAGGATAGCCAGACGTTTAGTCTCTCGTACTTCGGACCTATTATCAGGAGGGACCAGTCCCTGGAGAAGGACATCATGCTTGGTAAAGTGGAGGGTTGGGGAAAGAGGAAGACCCCCAATGAGAGGGACTACACAGTGTGAGCAGCAATGGACTCAAGCATAGTGGCAGTTGTGAGATGGTGCAGGACTGGGCGGTGTTTCGTTCTGGTGTGCAGGGGGTCACTAAGGGTCAGAACTGACTCAGCATCACCTAGCAACAACAAATCACTGAGAATCATGGCCCAGACAAGTTGGCATAAATTTTGGGAGGACACAGTTCAATCCATGACATCATCTCCAGGGCAAAGGACAAGTATCCTGGATTATCTACTACTAAGAGAAAGGCTGAGACCTGGAGTGGGGCAACCTTTGGTAGCTAACCCCAATGTTGGATGCACAGGTTCACCCAGAAGTGTTTCAGAAGATCTGCTTCCGAAACATCAGCCACCAGAGTCCTCATGGTTCTACTGACCCCACTGAGTCGCGTGAGTCGAGATCAACTCAACAGCAACTTGTAAGGAAGAGCTACAAAACCCTTCAGAAGAAATGGACCACATCTGAGGGTCTACCTGTATCCCAGAGGCCAAATAGGTTGCCAGCTTTCAGCAGGACCCAGACCAAGAGAAGGGGCTCCTGGTGGCTTGGGCTTCCCTTTGAGAGGTCAAGCCATTTGCCCAGGGATCAAAGGTTACAGCAGTGTCCTGGCTGATGGGAGAATCACAATGCCGTCCGAGTCATGGAGCAACCACACGCTCTTTAACAAGAACTTCATCTCCATTTGGGATGCCAGCCTTGGCTTCTCTTATGTGCCCGAAACTGCTTGGCATGGACTGTGTGTCAGCTGGTCTCCTGGACCATGAAGCTGGGTTGGCCCAAGAGCACTCCATCATCAAGTGAAGTGGTTTAACTGGGCTTTTGTGAGGTCCTTGTGACCCTGTGTCAACAAAAGCAGAGTATACCATGGATTACCAAAAGAAGGAGCAATGCTGTTGGAAGAAGTACAGCCACAATGTTCCAAGGACGCAAAGACGATGAGACTGTGTCTCAGGTACTTTAGATATAGTGTCAGGAAGGGCCAGTCCCTGGACGACATCATGCTTGGTAAAGTAGGGGGTCAGTAGAAAAGAGAAAGAGCACCCTCTTCCCAATGAGATGGATTGGCACGTGGTCTCAACAGTTGACTCAAACAACAATTATGAAGATGGCAGTGGAGTGGGCAGTGTTTTGGTCCATTGTATGTGGGCAGGCCTGGCCACATTTCCTTCTGTTTTATTGCGTGAGTCATAGTTCACTATGAGTCTAAGTGGACTCAATGGTACCTAAGCAACAATGCTCATGTGTAGCACACAAGCCGCGTCTTCTCCATCACCCAGAACTTACACATGATGGAGCCATGGAAGTTACACATGGTCTTCCCTTTGTGGAGACACTACAGTGGGTTGTCCAGTGCCCATTGTGAACCACAGTATGGCCTCTCACTCCATGGAGACCAGCCTGCTACCTACAGAAGTTGGAAGAGCCTTCCTGTCCCCTCTTCCCCATCAGCTCCATGGGATGCCGGCCTCGGCTGGACTAATTTGGTGTTCCACCCAGAACTTTGGATTTTGAAGAAATAAAAACACTCAGGGACAGTTGTTGTTGTTGTTAGGTGCCAACTCAGCAACACAAACGTCCAACAGAAGGAAGAACTACGCTGTCTTGAAACACCTTCACAACTGTTGTTGTTTGAGCCCATTTTTGTAGCCACTGTGGCAATCCATCCATCAGTGGTGGGTTAAATGCCTCATGGTTGGCAGAATTTCTAAAATAGATGCCTCCAAAGAGCCCACCTTAATCCCTGGGACTCCCATGGTTATGCCATGCTACCTGGCACAGTGGCTGTAAGATAGCAAGATCGTCTGGGTACATGGGTTCTAATCCTAGACATTCTTAAAAGCAGAGCGCTTCCTCTTCCCCTGACTGGCAGCAGGAAAGACTGGAGGAACTGGCCATGTTGCTGGTTTGAAGGTGGAGGGGGTCCTGGTGAGAAGGAATGTGAGTTTTTTAGGAACAGAGTGGCCCCAGCTGACAGCACAAAACCTGAAACCTCAGCCCTACACACCTGTAGGGAAGACAGGTTGTATTAGAGCCCCATCAAATACGGGTTGGAATCCTAACCCTTAACGCCTGCGGAAGTCAGACCCTCACCCTTGAGGTGTCAGCTGTAGAAGGGGTTGAGCCCTGCCACTTTGCCCCTCAGTTTAGTGACAATATTTGTGTCCTTCTTAGGTTTCTGTCTACAGTTTCCAGCTTCTATAGGTCTTACTCTATGTATAAGGAGTTCTGGTAGCGTAGTGGTTATGAGTCGGGCTGCCAACTTCAAGGTCAGCAGTTCGAAACTACCAGCCCTTCCACAAAAGAAAGATGAGGCTTTCTGCTCCTGTAAAGATTTACAGCTTCGGAAACCCTGTACAGGATCGCTATGAGTCAGAACTGACCACGGCACATCACCACCATCATCACTGTGTAGGAATACAAACACAGCCAGAATCCTCCCTAGAAGTGAGGCTGACGAGACTCTGTGTTACATACTTTGTACATGTTATCAGAAGAGGCCAGTCCCTGGAGAAGGACATCATGTTTGGTAAAGTGGAGGGACAGCGAAAAAGAGGAAGACCCCCAGTGAGATGGACTGACGCTGGCTCTAACACAGCAGCGATTACGAGGACAGCGCAGAACCGGGCCGTGGTAGGGTCGGTTGTACAAGGGGTCGCTATGAGTCGGAAATGGCTCGATGACACCTCACAACAACAGCAGTGTATGAGGAGGACCGTTGGTACAGAGACAAGCTAGTGGGCCCAGGAGGAAGGTCTTGGGAGACAATGGAGGTGGACGTAGCTACAAGCCCAGGAGCTCCCAGGCCTGGTGGGGGCGACAGAAGTGAAAGAGACACATAAGGGACCACCCCCAAGAGCCACCCACCGAATCCGAACTTCCAGTTTCCTGAAGGGTAAGGAAATAAATGTGGGAGCTGAAGTCCGCTTTGTGGTGTTTCTGAGCTAGCTGAGATACCCAAGACTCAGTGCACCCAGATGTGGATGTACCCTAGCACCTCCAGAGAGCTGACTTCTGACCTACAGAGCTAAGTCTGCAGTGGAGACAGTGAGTGTGCTGCGCATCCTAGGACCCCTGTCTTGGGGGATGTGTATCCTAAGACCCTGGTCTTGGGATGCACGTCCTAGGACATTGGTCTTGGCACTGCGCATCCTAGGACCCTGGTCTTGGGGGGTGACATGTGGGCCAGGCTTTCCCGAGTCTGACTTGGGCTGTTTTCTGCAGACTGGCTTGCTTTCTTCGTCCTCATTTCCCCCGTGGATTCTGTGAATGGCTCTTTGTTAGGTGCCAGTGATTTCTGACTGAGAGCGACCCCATAGGACAGTGTCGAAGGCCCCACAGGGTTTCCAAGGCTGTCCTCTTTACAAGAGCAGAGGCCACATCCTTCCCCCACGGAGAAGCTGGTGGCTTTGGCTTAGCCACTGAGTGATTCATCACTGGATTTAACCACAACGGGTCACAAAGTAGAAGGAAGACATGCCACATTGGGAATCCTGGCCTGGCCAAGTTGACACATTTTGTTGTTAAATGCTGTTGAGTGGGTTCTGACTCATAGCAACCCTATGTAGGGCTTCTGAGGAGTGGTTGGTGGGTTTGAACCAGTTAGCAGTTCAGGGCTTATCTTACAGCACCACACCAGGAGCCCGACACTTATTTTGGGGGTTGGACACAATTCAGTCCACAACATATGGGTAACTCGGTGCTAGGTAAACCATCCGGGGTGCTCAGCTGTGTTTGGTTCAGGTATGTTGTTAGATGCCTTTAAGATGGTTCTGATTCATAGAGACCCCATGTGGTAGCAGCCACCATGCCAATCCGCCTCATTGGGGGTCTTCCTCTTGTTCTCTGACCCTCCACTTTTCCAAGCATGATCCTTCTCCAGGGACTGGTCCCTCCTGATCACATGTGTGACATACCTGAGACCAAGTCCTGCCATCCTCACTTGTTTGACCCCTTATCTTTCTAAAAAGACCCTTTTAGGTGGTTAGGTCTTCTCCCTTCCCCATCCCAGCATAGATGTGGAGGAACATGGCTCCTTAGCCTCACCTTAGGAGTCCGGTGTGGGCAGGTGGGGGGCAGGTCAGATGTAGAGACACAGCCTCAGCAGTGTTGGCACAGCCCCGAGCCATGTGCACCCCGTCTTCGGCCCAGAAGGTCTTCAAGAGCCTGCGTTTCATAGCGGGACTGGAGCACTGGGTCACCGTGGAGGTATCTGGAATCACTGAGCTCCCGGGACCGTCTGCCAGAGGCTCTGTGAAGCACAGGGGAGCACGTGGCTATTCCAGTGGTTGAGGAACTCAGCAAGAGGCCCCAGGAGGGAGGGGGCTCCACTTGGCCAGAGGAGGGATGTTCTGAGGTATCAGATTCCAGCTCCGACCGTGGGTTACTCGAGAGAGAGGCGGGGATCAGTGATCAGGTAGGGGACACCTGCTGATGGCAAGTGACAAAGTTTATTAAAAAGTTCCAAGCTTATATAGGGCAAATCTGCCAAGTCATTGTGGTTTTGGCTAGCGCACAAGTTTCCTTTTCCCCGAAACGGCTCAGGTAAATTCACCTGTAAGTTTCTAGTGCTGACATAACTGTTGCTAGGCAAGTTTGGTTTCAAGGTAGTCGTGAGCCTTGGAAGGCTCTGGCTTCCTACACTGAGGACCTTGGGGGCAGGAGGGGCCTGTTGGTGACTGGCCTAAGTCCTCCCAGCCTCCCTCTGTGTGCTCAGCCCTAGTGTGTACCCAAGATCAGAGATCCTGGGCTGCTCTCTGGGGTCCCTCAAAGTGCTCTATGTGTTGATAGAGGGGACAAGGAATGGGATCAAGCAGAGAGGGGTCCGGGGTCCCTGGTGGCACAGTGACTAAAGCATTTTGTTGCTAAGTGAAAAGTCAGCAGTTGGAGTCCCCATAGCCTTGGAAGCCCTATAGGGTAGTTCTCTGCCCTACACAGCTGCCATGATGGGGCTGAGGTGGGTTTGCATGCAGTCCGTGGTAGGGAGGACATGCCTGTCTGTGACTGCCCGCTGTCCTGACCACCTGTCCCTCAGAGTCACCACCTGGCTGGCAGAGTGAAGAAGGGGCATCACTGGGTGGAAAGGGGAGGATGATATCTGGCAGCTGATAGCCTGAGTGCCCCCTCACCTCCTCCAGGGCAGACCTCGGCAGTGTGGCAGGCCGTACCTACCGTGACGTCAGGGTGTACGTCCCCTTCCGGTCCAAGCTGCGGCCGGAGTGGATGGCGGCCCAGAGGAGGGAGCTGAGCAACATGCTGTATACCTGGGGGCCGCAGCAGGGGTGAGCAGCCTGCATCAGCACCCAGCAGTGAGGCTCACCATGCCCCTGGGAGCCCACCCACCAGGCCACCTCCTTCTGCCTGCCTTTCTGTACCATGAGGATGAGGCTGAGGCCAACCAGGATGGCTGCGATGCCCAGATGTGTCCTCAAGAAGTTCCTCACGCCCTGGAGACAGTCCTGGGAAGAGGGGATGCTGCTGGGCTGATGGGAAGATGGGGGGTAGGGGTAGGGGAGATGGGACAGTCCCAGGAACCCACCCAGAGTTCAGGGCAAAGGCATTACTAACTGGTGCAGAGCTGTAGGGTAAGCCCTGGACAGTTAACTGCAAGTTCGGTGGTTCAAACCCACCAGCCACTCTTTGGAAACCCTATACAGGCTCACTGAGTTGGAACCAACTGGATAGCACTTCACAAGTGCCCTGGGGTTACTAGTGAGCCACATCTCTGCTTCCTGGGCAGGATGGTCCAATGACCACCCAGGGTCAGCACGCAGTATCCCTGGGCAGGAGGGGACCAGTAAACCGACTGCTGGTGGACGGGCCAGCCACAGGGGTCCTGGGCCTCCCTGGTGTCCACACAGCAGTGTCTCTGACCCATGCCAGAGTGGACTTTGGTTTCAAGGAGGCCATAGGCCTGTGGGGACAGGATGGGAAAGAACTCCAGCCCCATGTGATCCTGGGGCCAGACACACCTGAAGTCCAGGCACCGCCTCTGCCCATCTCTAGGGCAGCCCAGTATGGAAGGACAACCCCGTTCCATCCGGGGGTAGCACCTTGCTGACCTTGCGTCCTGCCCGCCTGCTGTTGCTTAGAGATCAGGGGGTATGACTCCAGGACAGCCGGGGGAGGGGACACAGCCCATGGCGGCCAGCCGAGGGGGCAGCAGCTATCGGGGAGGGAGGGCCCAGCCCAGCGTCTCAGCATGTCAGAAACAAGGTCTTCTCTGCCTTTGTTCCTCTCTGAACCCCACCACCCTCTGCCCAGCCAACCCTTAACCTCCTGACTTCCTCCTTGAAATGCCCTTCTGGGGTCTTTCCAAGACAAGGGGGCGGGGGTGGCTCCAAGCCCACATCCCTCTGCCCCCCTCCCCCACACTCCTGCTCTGTGGAATGTGGGCGTGGTCACATCCTGTCTCCCTCCCTCCTGCTCCCTGAGCTTCTGGAAGCTTCCAAGGGGACTGCTATCAGAGACTTAACCCCAGCATGGTCTCTGGCCAGGCCTGGGGAGCCACCGCTGGGGTCCTATGAATGAGTGAGCCACAGTGAAGGGGCCCTGTCTTCAGGGTCAGGGAGTGACCCCAGCCCCGTCCTGCCTGGGACTCACACACAATAACCCCTCCTGACCACACTGGACCCTTCCTTGTGGGTGTAGAGGGGCATGGCCCAGGGTTTGGATGGAGCCCCAGGATGTCCAGCCACCCTGCTGTACTGGCTGTTGAACTGGCCAGGGTCCAGTCTCCTCCTCACCTCTCTCAGGGCCAGCTCCCCAGGACACAACCCTGCTTCCGCATCACCCGGCCCGCCAAACCGAGATGGCTTCCCACAGCACCGGAACTGCAAGGACATGGCACATGGGGCAGGATCAGTGGGTTAGAGCTAAATCCTGGGGCAGGGCACGGGGCATGGTGTGTGTGCAGCCTAACTATCATGTCCTCGTTGGACAGGTGGGGAAACAGGCCAAGAGGGAGAAAGGGCTCAGGGTGGGCTCTGGGGAGGCTCACTGCCCTGGCCCTGGGCAGGCTGGGGTCTGCTGGGCAGAGGTGGTGGCTCCTCCTCAGGCTTCCCAGGACCTCCCTTGTAGAAAGGGTACAGGGACGTAAGCCCCTCCTCCACCCATACAGGGAGGCGCTCACATAGTAAAAAGCAAAGCCCAATTTCTGTTGAACTATCCCGGTGTGCAGAGAGCTCTGCCCCACCGGGTTCTCCAGGCGGCGACCTTTCAGAAGCAGACTGCCAGACGTTTCTTCCCAGAGGCCCCTGGTGGGTCCGAACAGTGAACCTTTCAGTTGGTAGCTGGGTGCCCAACATCTGCTCACACACCCTGCTGACTGCCCAATGACCACTGGGTCCGCTGTCTTCCAGAGCCTGCTTCCTGGCTATGTAACCAGCACAGAGGCACACCCATCCCCCACCCCCCGCCACCCCAAGTGTTTCATCTGGGCAATCTTGGACTTATCTTGTTTTGAACTAGTGGTCCCCACCACCCCCAAGTTCACTTTGCACTGGGCTCTGAAAATTCTGTAGCCAGCCCTGCCTAGGGCCGAAGAAGGACGTGGACACTCTGTCCCATCCAGAAGGGGCCTCATGTGGCGCTCTAGGTCAGCACTGAACCACAAGGTTGGAAGTTACATCCAGCTCCTTGGAAACCCTATACAGGGTCCCTGTGAGTTGGAACCGACTTGGTAGCACTTAACAACACAGGTGACCTATACCTTGGGACCTGCTCAGCATCTGGCCCTGCAGTGTGGGTATCCATCCTTTGTCCATCCGCACGTGGACACGGAAGACTGACCGACCTCCCCTTCATTCCTCATCCCCTACTGTCTCTGCCCCGCCCCTCCGCCCCATCATGCTCACCGTGTCCTGGATGGCCATCAACTCCTGCCACCGGACACTGGACGGGCTCCGAACAGCCTGCTCATACACCAGGTCAAAGGTGTCCAGCACAACATCTTCCACCTGCTCAGGGAATGGCACAGGAGGCAGGCCCTGCCTGTCCACCATGGGGCCACCCTATGAACCCCAGCCCTGCGGCCCAGAGAGCCCTGCGTATGAGCCCCAGCCCCCAGCCCGTGGGACCCGGAGGGGCCAGCCCAGGAAAGCATGCTATTTTGGTCCGTGCCCCATCCCAGATGAGGAAGCAGAACTCAGCAAAGCCCCCCAGCCCCCAGCAGGGCCTGGGTTCCTAATGGACCCCCTCACACCTGTTTCCAGTAGGTTCTGGGGGGACCTGGCCAGGAATTGCTGTGAGAACTGAGGGTAGAGCAGGAGTCAGGGTCCCCAACCAGGGCTTGTACCTAAGATCTCATCTGCCTGGGCCTGGTGACCCCCCGGGCCATTGAATGGACAGTCTGCTATGACAGCCAGCAAAGTGGGCCTGGGGACGGGGTGAGCCATGAGGAGCTGTAGGTGGTCTTCAGGTGCCCCCACCTCACCCCACCCTGAGCTCCTGAGAGCCGGCTGGGACCTGAGCCTACAGGTAAATCTGGGAGCGAGGGGCCTGGGGCAGGGGAAAAGGTGCCTCCCCTGTGTACTTCATCTGAGCGTGAATTATTGAGGGTGCTGGTTGGCATCTGTGTCTGGGGACCAGGGGAGAAGCACCGTGACAAAGTGGCTCTTGGCTGAGGCAAGATGGTATTAATAGCCGGGCACTCGTGGTCTGGTCCCTGGTCACCAATGAGGCCCAAGCAGCCTGAGGGAAACCTTGGTACCCTTCCTCCCCAGTCTAGGGTCTGCCTTTGATGGAGGCTGCTCCAGTGATCTCTTCACGTGGCATTTCAGGCCCCTCTGTGTGGGTGCAGAGGGAAAGTGGGGTGAACAGGCATGGTGTGGCTCTAATCTCTGGACCCCAGGTTCCACCAGAACAAACTTGTGCTGTAGCCAAGGGGATCTCAAGGAATAGGGAACTCCAGGTTGAGCGTCTGGTTGCTCTGACTGGCCTCACAGCTGTTCTGAGGCACAGAACCAGAATCCAGCTCTGATGGTCAGCGCTGCCCCACAACCCCAGGACATAGGTGGACCCCCTTCTTCCACCCTCCCCTGCTACCTGGCACCACTGCCTCCCTAAGCTGGGGTTGGCTCAAAGGTCCCCTCTCATGGGACCACCAGCACCCTTGGCCAAGCTGGTCTCTCTCACCTGGGAGTAGGCCCTTTAACCTCCTCTGCAGATGAGGAAACAGGCCTGGGGAGGGCAGCTGATTATTCCAAGCCCCCCCCCCCATCTCCTGCAGGGAGGCTGAGCCCTGACTCCAAACATGTCCATGAACCTAGTATACACATGGACCACCCCCACTTCCTGTGCCCAGTGGACTGAGTGTCCACCAGCATCTGCCTCCCCTCTGGGGTCAAGTATGAGCCCCAAGTCCACTGGGAAGTGCAGACCAGGCCAGGACGACTATGGAGGGCTGGGAGGGGGCCAGAGGAGACCCACGTGGGGGTCAGGCTTGCCCACCCTGTCGTGAGAAGGCCCAGCTTGCATCTGTCCTGTGGCTCATGTGAGGCCCCCTCCTCTCCCAGCTGGGGAATCTTGGACTCAGACCTATAAACACAGAACCGGGAGGCTGGGCTGGATGTGGGTGGGGGAGCTGGACAGGCTAAACAAGGCCCCTGGCAGTTGTCTCAACCCGGGCCACCCACAAAATGACCAGACTTGAGTGGGTCAGAAGAGCCCTTGTGAACAGAACAGGCAACGTGAGGCTGGTCACCAACTTGACGCTTTGGGAGGGGATGGGAAGAAGGGGCAGCTGCTGGACCAAGGCCAAGGAGACTGGCTACTGCCGGCAGGGATTCCATCCTGGGTGGGGACGTCAGATAACTCCGGGGGATGGGGTGAAGTTTGAGCGATGCTCAGGCAGGTAAGGGCTGAGAGCACTGGGCACTGAGCTGGCCCCCCCGACCCCACCCCCGAAACCCCAGCACATCCTCCCCACACATCCTCCCCACACTTCCAGCAGGTCCTTCTGCTGGTCCCTCTCTGGCAGCCCTTCTTGAGTGAAAGCTCCCTGGTTTGGAGGGGCCCAGGCTAGCTGACAGGTTACATCTAGGGTTGGATGGACTTGGAGACAGAAGCAGGAAACTGCCCTAGCTGTTGTCACTGAATAAGCTCAAGTCCAATAGACCTTGTTCCTGGGCCACGGGAAACTGAGGCCCAGAGAGGGGAAGGGACAGGGGTTTGTGGAGTTAGGGGTCTCCTGTCTACCACCTCTGTATACCTTCATGGTGGCCCAGATGTTGTCCAGGTTGTCTGGGAGTGGGGATCTCACCTAGACCGTGTCCTCAAGACAGGTGGGGCCTGTCCAGGCATCTCAGGAGAGGTTGAGGATGGGCATGTTTACTGCTCTCCAGGGCCCCAAGTGAGCCTTCCAGAGGGGGCCCTGAGCTGACCCTCACCCCTGGCCATCTGGATCGCCACCCCCCAAGCTCAGAGCAGCCTGAGGGTCGGGAACAGTGACACACTGGGCCAGCTGGTCTCTCCTGACCCTTTGGCCACCTTTTTCCCCTGCCCAACGGGAAGGCCAACCTGGACTCCCAGTTTGGGCTCCTCAACCGCTCAGCGTGTTTCTCACAAAGGCTGGGTCCCTCAGACATGCCCGGCTGAGACCTCCCTCCCCCCACCCCCGAACGTCCTGGCAGGACACTCCCTCTCTGAGCACAGTTACCCTGACCTCTCGGGGCCACTGGGGTGTCCTCAGGGCGAAGCCAGCACTCAGGTAACTGTAGCTGAAATAATGCATGTGTGAAGGACCCACCTCCTGTGGGGATCGGGCCACATCACTCCAGTTACCACAGACATGGGAATTCCCAGGAAGGTGCCCGCAAGGACGTGTCCAGTGCTCCTAGTCACTCCCCATGGGCTACTGGGGGCCAGTGTGCAGGTCACTCCCTGGGCTGCTGGGGGCCAGTGTGCAGGCAGACAGTCCCAGGGTCAGCAGTATGAATGAGGCTGGTCCATTCTGGTCACTCTGTCCACTGTGTCTTCTCGCCCTGCAGTCCCCCTCCCCCTGCTGCATCTTGCTCAGTGTGTGGTAGGCCTGCTCAGAAAATGACCTGGACATTCTGCCCTCTCTGGAAGAAGGCTGAGCCTCCTCAATCCCCATCCACCACTTGCTCCCACTGCCCTCTCCCAGCAAGCTGGCTCCCAGAGGAGCAGACAGGCTGAGGGGTGAGCAAAGCAGATTCCCAGCTGAGGGTCTGGGGAAGCACGGACCCACCGCCCTGCCTACGGCCTCCTCCTTCCCCGGGGAGCTGTAGCCCCCAACCCAGAGAGCGCCCTGCCTGCCCACTCTTTGGTCTCTCTGTCCTTTTACCCCACTCCAGCCAGTGTGAGCCCCACAAGTGGACCTACCCCCACACCCTCATGCCGTCTCTCTTCTAGTAGTGGTGGGTGGTTCTGGACCCCCTGAACAGGGTGGGGTGCTCACCTGGGTGGGGTTTTGGAATCTCCAGAAAGCCACCTGCACCAGGACACAGAACACGAGCGAGAAGCACAGGAAACCCTGAGAGACAGGGAGGACAGGTCACCCCGGCCTCCGGGGTGCATATTGTGTCCCTGAAAGATCAGTTGAAGACCAAATCCCTGAGCGTGGTCTTGTCTGGGGAAGAGCATCTCTGGAGACATGACCAATTCAATACTGGGGGGTCAGTTGGGGCCAAATCCTTTCCAAGGGTGTCTTATAAAAGGGGAGGACAGATAGGGGGACAATAAGTAAGGATCCAATCAAGGAAGCCCAGAAATACCCAGGGCTGCAGAAGGCGAGTGGGATGGTACATGCTGTTTGCTATCAGCTGCTAAACTAAAGGTTGGCAGTTCAAACCCACTCAGTAGGGCCTGGAAAGAAAGACCACCCTTAAAATAGTTGTTAGATGCTGTGGCCTTGGTTGTCACGCACAGCAAACCCATGAACAACAGGACAAAGCAGCCCCCTGTCCTGCACTATCCTCACAACCTTTTTTACACTTGAACCCACTGCTGCTGCCACTGAGCCAATGAATCTTATTAGGGGTCTCCCTCTTTTTTGCTGACCCTCCACTTTACAAAGAATGATGTCCTTGTCAGAGACTGGCCCCTCCTGAAAGATGACAGCTAAGAAAACTGTGTGGGCAGGGCAGTTGTACTCTAAAACGGGGTGGGGGTGGGGGTTGCCGCCATGAGTTTGGAGTTGACCCAACAATGACCACCAACAACGGTCACAAAGTTAAAATGACAAGAAATGACAGAGACATGGCCCTGCTGACGCCCCACGTCCAGAACGGCCGGCTGTGGGGAGGCCCTCCAACCTTCGCCAGCACCTCCTGCCAGCCTGTTCTGCAAGGTCTCAGTAGTGTGGTGCTTGCCTCTGCCTCTGCCTTCCCCCTCTTCCTGCCTCCTCACCCCTCTTCCCACCTCAGGGGCATGTCTGGGGTGGCGCCACCCCGTTCAGTTAACTCTTGTGACCATCAAGTCGGTTCCGACCCATGATAATCTTATACTACAACAAATTACACAATCTGTCTACATGGAAACACGACGTTATCAGTAACTGAGTGAAAAGCGTCTTTTGCCTTTTCTTCACCTTTTCCTTTAATGACTACTTCATTCTCAAAAGGTTTGGGTATCGGTTCACAAACGGTACTTATGTTGTTAACTGAAAGACCAGATCATTTGACAGAATCGGGCAAGGAAATTCACAACTGCCCCTAATGGAAGGCGGGCCGACGGAACCACGTGATTAGAAGGGCCGTTGTAATTGGATGGCGACAGCTCTGAGCGGAGTGCATGACAAAGGACCAGAAAGTTATACAAGCCTAGAATTTCCGTTGTTGATACGTGTAAGCTGGGCTTAGAAAAAAATGCTTTGTTGTTACAACTAACTACAGGAAATGAAAACTTTCTGCTGAAACATCACAAAGTTTCATAGGCATTCATTTTGGTCCACACTCTGATATGTCACCTAGTGTGGGCTGTACTGCCATGACGTCACTGTCCCTCCTCCTCTCCTCCTCTTCATAATTCCTCCCCCTCCTTCCTCCCCTCCTCTTTCCTCTTGTCCCCTTGTTTTCTCCTTCCCTTCCCCCTCTTCCTCCTCCCCTCCCCCTCCTCCTTCCTCTTCTCCCTCCTCCCCCTCCTCTTTTCTCTGTCTTCTCCCTTCCTGGTTTCTCCTTCCTCCCCTACCTCCTCCCCCTCCTTTTTCCTCCTCTTCTCTCCCTCCTACTCCCCCTCCTCCTTGCTGGCCCCTAGCCACCTCCCCATCTGGAAACCATCACCCCACAAGGCCTCCCGGGCAGGAAGCCCCGGGGCCCTTCCCCCCTCTGCTCTGGGGTTAGTATCTCATTCCTCAGGAGAAAGAGCATCCCTCTTGGCTCCTCAGCAGAGAGGGTGCCGGCAGTGGAGGGGTCTCCGCCCACCCAGGCGCTACAGGGCAGAGCTACCTCGGGGCCAAGCTGCTGGCTTCTGCCTCCTTCTCAGAGCAAACAAATAAATAAATAAATTCAGAAATAACATGACCGGTATCCTCCACCGCAGCTGCCAGCTCTCTCATTTCCTGTGAGAGGCCTGCTGGGGGAGAAGGGTGGGGGCAGGAAGGGCAGGGGTGGGGTGCAGGCGCTAGTCATGTGGGGAAAGTCTTCCCCTGCCTCCAACCTCCTTCAAAAGTGTTCATGTGCACACACACACACACCTTGGAGACAGAAGCAGGAAACTGCCCTAGCTGT